GTCGGCGCGCAAGGCGAGCGGCAGCGTCGGCGGCGGCGGCGCGCTGTCGCGGACGGCGTCCAACAAGGCGCTCCCCTCCGCCCCGCCCCCGGACGCGCCCCCGGACGCCGCAGCGGCCACGGCAGCGGCGGCGCGCGGCGGCGCGCTGGCGGCGCTGCTGCGGGACGCCAATGGCGATACCCTGGCGTTGGCGGAGCGGCTGATGGCGCGGGTGGCGGAGCTGGAGTTGCAGGTGGGGTTTCGCCGGGTGGGGGTGGTGGGGTGTTTTCGGCTGCGGCCGTTGAGGGCAGAGGGGAGGGGACGCGGGGTGCAGGACGGGGGGCGCGAGGGGCTTCGGTGCTGCGGCCGGCGCTGCGTTTAGCTGGGCCTGTCGGCGGGCCTGCGCTGCGGCCACGATGGACAGGCTCGCGCGGCCGCGCCGCGGCAGCTTCCCGGCGGCTCCACCTCCTCGCGCTGAACCTTGGACCCCTGCTGGCGTACCTGCTCCGCCGCCGGGGCGGCGCCCCCGCCTGCAGCTGTCTGAGGCGTCTGAGGAGAATGCGCGGCTGCGCGCGCGCGGCGCGGCGCAGCCGCTGCTGTCTGACCTGGGGGACAGCGCGGCGAGCAGCCTCTACCCGAGCCGGCGAGCCTCCATCACGCTCTGGGGCGGCCCCCTCCCCGGCGCCGCTGCGCCCCCCGCGCTAGCGACGGCGGCCGCCGCCGCCTCCGCTTCGGTGCAGGCGGGGGCCGGGGGTGTGTGAGGCGCGGCAGAAAACGGGGGGTGGGGACTGCCGTGGCCCTTGATTGTTTGGCGCATTCCAGGAAGACACTCGACAGGGGCAATTCAGGCCCCGGCTGCACCCTGAATGAATAAAGCAGATCACATAACAGATCGCCCCGTGCAGGCCATCGCATCGCATGCATGCGCATGTGAGGGGAGACGAGCGCTGCCTTATGCCTAGTGACACCAGCAACATATTTCGCCGCGCGGCGCATCAACCTATGTACGATCCCCCAAAGATGCCCGCCGCCACACAATTTTTTGCCGCGGGCGGCATCGCCCGCGGCCGCGGGCCGCCGTGGCCTGTTGGCCGATGCGGCGGCGCTTTGTCCGGCGCGGCGGCCCCTGCATGGCCCGCGGCCTCAGGGGATCTGCAAATTCGCAAACAGCGCTTCACTCAACGCCATATTCGACCCCAGTCTTCTTCCCTCGAGCGCGTGTGGACATTTTTTGGCAGCGGCAGCTGCCCACGCATTTTGCTGCGACCCCAAGTTTTCAGGAGTAACACTCCCAAAAGGATGATTCCGCTCGAAATCGCGGGTGCATGCGGCGCATGCGGCCCACAGGCACCGTTCGGGCGCGGCGCATGCGACCGTGCAAAACCCTCTGCAGGCTGGGGTGGCCGCTGTCACTGCCGCGCCGCTTTGCAGCCAGCGTCACTGCCCCTGAGCGGCCAGCAGGTGGCTGTTCATGACCGGCTTGGCTGGATCCCAACTTCAGTTCTTTGCAGATGAGCCGAGGGTGTGGGTCGCAGCAGCGATCGACGACACCAACCCTCTATTGACACCTGTCGGCGACGCAAGGGTGTGGGCCTGTACCCACCCGGCCCCTCACAGAATCTGCCATCCCGAAATAAGTATGGTACAAGCACAAAAGTCGCATCATCATAACATTAACCATCTCAGCCGGCGTCCCGCCTTTGCGCGATTGTAGGGACCGGTCAAGGTCGCGAGCAGAGCCAGGACTGTCAGAACGCACAAGTAAAAGGAATCAACGTGCTTTTGGGGCGCGTGTGGTGGTGGCAGAGCAGCCTGAACCCGCCGTGACAGCTTTCGTGGGTGGTGGTGGGTGCAGCCCACCCTCCCTCTCATCACCAGGTCAGGCGCAGCTATGCTGCGATCCAGGCCCACCACGAGCAGACAGGCTCAGCGCGGCACCCAGTTAAAACATGCCAAGCTGCAAGCCTGCGTGAGCCCGATCGCAGCCCTCACGCGCGGGCGTCCCGTGGTGACCGTCGCCGCCGCGGCCCCCCTGCGCCCCAGCCGCCCCGCGCCCGGGCCGCGGGCGGCCAAGCACCGCAAAGCGGCGGCAGTCCTTGCCGAGGCGCCCCCGCAGCAGCAGCGCCAGCAGCAGCATCAGCAGCAGCAGCAGCAGCAGGAGCAGGCGGGGCAGCAAACGCCTGCGTTCCCGTGGCCAGAGCAGGCGCCCAAAGATGAGCTGACGCTCGCGCCCCTCGCCCCCACCACAGCAATCACACAACCTCTGCCGACAGCCGACCAGCCCGCCGCATCGGCCGACCGCCCAGCACACTCGTCTGAGCGCCGCAAGCGCGCCCGACGGCGGCGGCGGCGGGGGCCGCGGCCGCAGCGCGACGAGGCCGTGTCGGCGCCCGCGCAGGGCGGGCTGCAGCAGGCGCGCGCTGCGGTGGGGCACGACGCGCCAGCCGTCGCGGAAGCCTCCGCCGCCGTCGCCGCCGCCCCCGCGCGGCGCTCGATGAGCCGCCCGCACGCGCACGTCCCCCTGCCTTGCAAGGAAGATGACCTGTTGGGGTGGGTTTGGCCACGCGTTCCCAGGGAGGGTGAGGTGTCTCCGACGTTGGATATGTGTCCGGGCCGCACCCCTGGCGCCCAGCATCAAGATCCCGGGCGCAGCCCCAGCGGCCTTGCCCCCACCCATGGTTTTGAAGGCATACAGCAGCCATGTCAGCGTGACCCCGAAAGTTCCACCACGCTGTCGCCCTGCGCGCTTGGCTGCTGCCTCGTCGTCGTTCGTGCGTTCGACTGCCCCAACCCTCGAACACCCGCCGTCCAAGGCGCCCGCTCATCGCCAAACCTCGGATGCCCTCTGATGCGCCCCCCCACAACTCAGGTGGTACTCTCACGCGGTGCAGGCCGCAGAGGCGGAGACAGCGGCGGCTGCCGCCGCGGACGGCGCCGCGGCGCCTGCGGCCTCGCTCGGCCGCGCGCTGGCGCTGCAGGCGCAGGTGCGGGCACGCGCATGCTGGGCCTTGGCCGGGCACCCACAAAGGCTGGCCCCTTGACGCGAGCTACATCCTCTAGCGGTGTGCCCTAGCTTATGCTGGCCCCCGAAACACACGCGCGGGTGAAGCGCCGCCCTCCTTCTTTTCTGCGAGAAGCAGCCATTGAAGGCTGACCGCGCCAACGGCCGCAACCAACAAACCCCGACCGCCGCAGGCCCTCCTGGACGGGACGTTGGGTGATGCGGGCTTCGAGGCGCGCGCCTTCCCGCCCCTGGAGCCCATCCTCTCGGATGAGGACGATCAGGGGTCCGACGCCGCCGGCGGCGGCTGGCGCACGCTCGCGTACAGGCAGCAGGTGGCCGCCGGCGCCGCCTGGCAGGCCGGCGACGGCGGGGAGTTTGAGGAAGACTCGGATGGCAACGGCAGCGGCGGCAGCGCTGGCGCTCGTCCTGGCAGCCCCGGCGCGCGCAGCACCAGCCACGCGTTTGCGGAGTGGGCGATAGAGGAGCAGCGGCTGCCACTCCTCGCGAGCCAGTGGGCGCACGGCGCGCACAGGTGCGGGCACCGCTCGCAGGGGGTGCAAGCGCTCCCAGCCGCCCCTCCCCCCAGCTTTGAGCTGCCTGCTTGATAAGATGCACCGTGGTCACGGCGGTTTCGCCTCCGACACTGCAATCGTCACGGCGGCCGCGAGGACTCCAAATCCGCCCCGCGCTTGCGTCTTTTTTCGCAGCTGGGAGCTCGGGCGTGCGACGGCTGGCGCTTGGCTGCAGGAAGGCCACGCCGCCCACGAGTGGGGCGGCGCCGCGGAGGACCACGCGCGCTGCATGATTGGTGAGGCCCGCGCCGCCCGCGCTCCGCGCGCCGCCCTCGCAGCCCAGGGCCGCGGC